ACATATATATATATATATATATTTTATCGATAAATAAATGAATAGAAAATAAATAACAAGAGAAATAGAAGGAAAATAAATGGACGAAGTTTCTTGATTATTCGACTTGTTTAGTAAAAGAGTAAAGCCAAAAAGAGAAAAAAAGGAAAGAAAAAAAAAACAAACAAAGTGTAAGAAAAAGAGACGAGATGAGAGAAAGGGTGAGAAAGAGAAATAGAAGCAGGGAGAAGGAGGAAGAAGAAGAAGAAGAAGAAGGGTGGCGTTCGACCTTGTCTTTTTGCGTCTTCAACGAAAAAGTATAAGGGACAAAAGAGAATAAGAAGAAGAAGAAGAAGAAGAAAAAGAAGGGATGACGAAAAAGGTTTTCCCTTTGCCCTCCTGACTGAAGTTTCCATGGTTACGAGTGTTGACCTCCCCCAAAAAACGTTTTGCTTTTTCTTCTATAATATACTATACTATATACAAGTTATATATATATATAGCTATTAACTAGTATATAATATCCCTTTTTCTCCACCCCCGATGAGACCCTGTAGGAAGAAGAAGAAGAAGAAGAAAAAAGAAAAAGGGGGGGTTGGTTATGGTGGTGATAGTGGGTGGTGGTGGTGGAAGGGCTGGTGTTGCGCACGTGTCACTCAGTTTCACTTGTGAGTTTTATCGACACAATAACACCACCACCACCATCATCATCATCATCACTACTGGCATCGAAATACGAAAGTGTGTCAGTCGTGTGTAAGTGTTGAGTGTGTGTGTGTGTGTGTGTGCACAATGCCAGGGGTCAGGAGAAGAAATGGCACGCGTAGGCGGTTCTTGAATTGTCAGTTGCTGCTTTCAGGGCTGCCCACCATACAACCAGAACTTTTCCGTAAGCTACCGTATGAAAGTAAGAGAGAGAGAGAGAGAGAGAGAGAGAGAGAGAGAGAGATAAAATATATACGTTCGATTTCTCGATTTCAACTTAATATACAACACATTGATAACTGTATATATGTATATGTATATATTTATCTTCCTTTCAGTTAGGTTAACGGGAATATATTTGCATTTGCGAATGTTCAATCATCCGAGAATGATCTCAATATCGAATATTATATATTTATATATATATATATGTGTGTGTGTGTGTGGATTTTATATGCCATATTTTTGTAGTATTTTCGTTTGACAATTTGTACGTAGAAATTTTAGTATTTATTTCGTCGTTCCCAATTTATTCGATTTTATTATTTATTTCTTTTTTTTTTTTTTTTTTTTTTTTT